GCAGCAGCAAAAGACAGAGACAAACGGAGACACTTTCATCAGCAGCAACACCAGCAGCAGCAGCAGCAGCAGCAGAAGCAGCAGCAGCAGCTGCTGCAGCAGCAAAAGACAGAGACAAACGGAGACACTTTCATCAGCAGCAACGCCAGCAGCAGCAGCAGCAGCAGCAGCAGCAGCAGCAGAAACAGCAGAAGCAGCAGCAGCAGCAGCTGCTGCTGCAGCAGCAAAGGACAGACAAACGGAAACACTTTCATCAGCAGCAACACCAGCAGCAGCAGCAGCAGCAGCAGCAAGAGTAGCAACAGCGGCAGGGGCAGCAGCAGCAGCAGGAACAGCAGCAGCAGCCGGAGTAGCAACGGCAGCAGCAGCAGCAGCAGCAGCAGCAATTTATATATTTCTTACACAGAAGCCTAGATGCGCAAATGCCTCCAGCAGCAGCAGCGTCTGCTGAGGAGACAGCAGCACAGCCTGCACCATAAACACACACACTCTCCTGCTGCTGCTGCTGCTGCTTCTGCTGCTGCTGCTGCTACTGTCGCTGCTGCTGCTGCTGCTGTTGCTGTCGTTGTTGCTGCTACTGCTGTTGTTGTTGTTGCTGCTGCTGCTGTAGAAGGGTCCCCTGCTGTTATAAATATATCTCCTGCTGCTGCAGCTGCTGCAGCTGCTGCAGCTGCTGCAGCTGCTGCAGCTGCTGCTATCGATCTGTCTCCTGCTGCTGCACATGTGTCTCCTTATGCTGTCTCCTTCTCCGCCCCACAAACCTCTCCCCTTCCTCTTTGCCTTCCGGGGCCCCCTAGGGGGCCCCCCGGGGCCCCCCTTGGGGGCCCCGCAGGGGCCCCTGAAAGGGCTCTCAGGGGGCCCCCAAAGGCAAGGAGAGAAGGGCGGGGGTTGGGGGTACTAAAGGCCCCCTTTGGGGGCCCCTTGGGGGCCCCTTGCAGGGCCCCTTGGGGGGCCCCTTAGGGGCCCCTTGGGGGGCCCTTGGGGGCCCCCTTGGGGGGCCCTTGGGGGCCCCCTTGGGGGCCCCTAGGGGGTAAGTGTGGGTACTACTTACATCTCTGCTTAGCCGTTGTGCTGCTTGTAAGAAGAGAGCTGCAGCGAGAGGCTTTGTGTCTGCCA